TAAGCATGTGGGCCAGCCGGTGGCCACTGGGTCCAGCTTGTGTGGCAGGTAAGCCACCGGTCATTTCCATGGCCCTAGATCTTGGGTTAGCTCCCCCTTTGCGATGCCCTTGTTTTCGGCCACAAATAAGGTAAAAGGCTTTTCTAGATTGGGCAGTGCCAGGGCTGGGGCCTGCGTAAGAGCGGCCTTTATGTTGTTGAATGCCAATTGGAGTCTCAGTCCAAGTAATTTGATCCCCTGGTCCCTTAGTAGCCTCATAGAGGGGCTGGGCCATTTCAGCAAAGTTGAGAATCCATAAGCGACAGTATCCTGCGGCTCCTAGAAATTCTCGAATTTGCCTTTTAGTCTTTGACTCTGGTATATTAAGGATGACTGTTATGCATTCAGGGGACAATTTCCTTTCCCCTGTGCTTAAGATATATCCCAAATATGTCACCATCAGGGAACAAAGTTGGGCCTTTTTAGTGGATACCTGGTATCCTAGGCATTGTAAGGTCTTTAATAAATCCCCTGTGGCTTGTTTACAAATCTCCAGGGTGGGTGCAGCCAATAGCAAGTCATTGACATATTGTAACAGTGTTGTATTTGGTCCCTATTTTACCTTGAAATCTTGGAGGTCTCGGCTCAACGCTTCATCAAACAGCATAGGTGAGTTTTTAAACCCGTGGTGCAGTCTACTCCATGTTAGTCGACCAGAGTAGCTTCCATCTGTGGCTTCCCATTCGAAGGCGAACAGAGGCTAGCTGATTTTGGCTAAGGGCAGACTGAAGAAGGCATCCTTTAAATCCAACACTGTATAAACCTGATGGAGGGGATTAACCAGGCTCAACAACGTATAGGGATTTGGTACAGTTGCATGGATAGTTTCCACCCTCTTATTGACTTCCCGGAGGTCCTGGACAGGCCTGTAGTCATTTTTCCCTGGCTTTTGGACTGGTAACAGGGGAGTATTCCAGCTAGACTTGCAAGGCACTAGTTTCCCTTCTTGTTTTAATTTATTGATGTGAGGTTCTATCCCTTGTCGTGCCTTTAATGGAAGAGGGTATTGTTTTACTCGGATGGGGGTGGCAGTTGCCATGAGCTGGACCACTATTGGAGGTTGGTGCCTTGCTAGCCCAGGGGGATTAGATTCAGCCCAGACCTGGGGCACAAGTTTCATGTAATAAGCTAGTAATTCTTGGTGGTTGGAGGTTTTATCCTCCCGCAATTGTTCTGGCAAGAGCTTATATTCTTCGGAGAAAGGCAGTGTTACCAAAAGGTGGCAGGTTGCTCCAAGCTTAGTGGAGTAAATCTCTGCCCAATAAAGGCACGGGGCAGTCAGGCATTAAAATGAACGAATGAGTAACTGTGTTCTTGCCTAAGTCAGTGAGTCGCCTTTCTGTCCATGAACAAAATTTAGTTTTCCCTGTGGCCCCTTGAACGGCAATGGGGGCTTATTACTAGGCAATTCTGGTTTTTTCAGTACAGAGTATGTAGTCCCCGTGTCCACCAGAAATGATACTGGTTTGCCCCCTACTTGAAGAGTTAGCCTGGATTCCTGGGGGTTAAGGGGCATGGAACCCTGACCCCATCAGCCTTCTGTGTCTTCACCCAGATGAAGCACAGTATTAGTCTTTTCAGGCTTTTCCTGTAACTGGGAGCAAGCCTTTTTCCAATGATTACAGTAGGCACATTGGTCTTTATCCAACGGTGGTTACTTTTTGGCCCCCGTGTTGACTGCTCCTTTAGGGACCTGGGGTTTCTTGGGTTGGCCTTGTGTGGCCAGCAGAACCTTAGTTAGTCTTTTAAGCTACTTATCTTCAGGTGGGTCGTGATTTGTGAAAATCTTTTGGGCTATTTCTACCAACTCTGAAAGAACCTTGCCCTCAAATCCCTCTAATCTCTGAAACTTCCATTTTATATCGGGTGCAGACTGAGTTACAAAGGCCAAATTAATTGCCCTTCGGTTTTCAGGTGCTTCCGGGCCTATGAGTGTATAGCTCCGGTTCGCCTCTAGGAGGCGCTCTAAGAATGCACTTGGAGATTGGGCGGGCTGTTGGGTTATTTCACTAACCTTAGATAGGTTTGTGGGTTTTCAGGCTGCAGCTCAAACCCCTCCTAACAGGACTTGGTGAAACCGATCGAGAGCCTCCTTACCTCTATTACTATTTGGGTCCCTGTCAGGGCAACAGGTGGAGAAAACAGCAGCTAATTGCTCAGGGTCATCCGTGGGGAGACCATTGGGGCCCAAGACAGCCTGTTGGGCCTCTCGGCATGTTCGTTCATCAGATGTGAACAGAGTCTGTAACAATCCTTGGCCATCATCCCAGGTGGGCTGCTGAGTGTAAGAGACAGACTCAAGCAGAGAAATGAGACCATGTGGATCGGTGGAAAAGGAAGGGTTCTGGTTTTTCCAGTTGTAAAGATCACTGATGGTAAAGGGAACATACACCATAAAAGGAACGTTACCCCTGCGCCTCACGGAAGGGGAAGAGTCCAGGAGGGGAACCAGTGGAGGAAGGTGAAGAAGGGGAAGCAGAGGAAGGAGGGGACACTGGTGGGGTGGGACTCTGGAGACGATAAGAGGCCCCAGAGCGGGTGTGTGTGGGAGAGGTAAGTGGGTTAGACACTTGGGTGGGGTCCTCTGCGTAAGGTGGCGGGCGGCAGGTCAGGTCCGGCCCCTCTGGAGAGGTTGATAAAACTTGCTTAGGGGTAGAATCAGGGTGTGGCTTTGTCAGGAGTATGTTGGCCGTCTCGGTGGCGAGCATTTTTCTTTAACTCTGGAAAACATCTTTTTAACCAAGGAGGAGTGTAAGACAGAATTTCTATCCAAATGAGAATATAAGGTATCTGATCAGGGTGTCCAGGTTTTCCGAAGATGACCCATCTGACAGCCTGAGCTAAGCTAATTTTGTGGTTAGCCCTGTAGCCCCTCCCCACCCTGGATTCCCCATTTATTTTAGCAAGCGATTTGTACAGAAGCAGAATGCATATGTTAAGGTCAGTAGGGGTTGGGGCATCCCTTAACAATGCTGATAACACCAAGGTCCAGGGCCAAAAACCCTAGTTATAGTGCTTCTGAGTTTAAGGGCCATTCCCTTTGGACTACATAAACTCTCACTATTCAAGACAATTACTGAGCACCCTATGCATTTGGCTCTCAGTTCCTTTGACTCAAAATTAATAAGAGGGTGTTCTGGCAGTGAACATGGTGAGAAGTGGAGAATGGTCTGATCCCCAGGTCCTCTGGGCCCTCCTGAGGGGCTGGCAGATGAGCTGGGGGACCAGGGACAGGCCACAGCCTCTGCCCTTCAGGCACCTGGGGCCCTAACTGTGGCTGCCCAGTGGATGGGCCAGGCCTTGAAGCAGTGGTGAACCACTTTCTCCACCCCCAGCCAAGCTGCCCAGGACACCACAACTTTGGGTGTTGTAGGGCAAGAATAATGGCAAATGCTGGAACACTGCAGAGGGACTTTCAGGTTTGGAGGGCCTGGGAGTGGGAGTGGTTCTGTGGACTTACTCTCAGCCACCTCTGTAGGCCATAGAGCCTCACAGATTTAGGTCCTGGGGTGACCGCTCTGTCCCACTTGGTTTTGACTTAACCTAGTCCTGACAAAAATGACAGTGGGACAAAGGCCTTAATGGGTCTGAAAGGTGATTGGACAACTTCGGTGGGACAACCAGTTACTGGGCCATTGGACAGTTGGTCTTCATTCTACCAGACCTTGAAGAGAGAAATGGTGGAGTAACATACCACATTTGGCCAACTGGAAATGTCCACCTCCCTTTGGAAAGATTTACTGGCATTTTGTAGAAAGCCTATGTATATAATATGAAAAAGATGCTCTCGACTTTTCCTTCAACTTTTTAAAAGAAAACTTTTGCTACATTGAGGCTTTCTAGATGTAAAGAGTTTGCTAACTATGACAGAGTTGGAAAATCACATCTTGTAAATGATGGATCTTGGACATGGCTGGTGTCATCTCGGATGTGACCGGTGCCATTTTCACACACACTGAGCACAAAATGGCCACCAGCCTTTCCCTTATGAGAAACCTCGTGGTCTCTGAGAAATAGAAACTCCTCTACTTCTGCAGGGGTGCAGCCTTCCACCTGATTGCATCTGCCAGCTTTATCTTCCACTCCAGCACCAACCCCCTCCCTGATTACCTTAGCCTTCCCTACAGCCTATATGAGCTCTCCCACCCCCACGCCTGGTGCTGCTCTCCATTTTGAGCACAACCCAGCAGATTTTCTTCCTTTAATAAAGCTTGATTGGTACTCGGCATTTCGGCTCACTTTCTTTCACTTACCTCTCTATATGAGAATTTAATTTTGCTTCTATTCCAGTCTTCAAACATGTTGCTGTTTTTTAATGTATGTCCATTTGCTTCATTCACTTAGTCAGTAATTGGTCAGATAAGAAGCCCTCACTGAGCACGTATATTGTGTCAAGTCTGCTGGATGCTGAACATACAGAAATGAATATGTGGTCTTTTCATTGGTGGAACTCATGGTCTAATGTCCATGTGTCCTTTATGAATTTAGATTGTAAGCTCCTTTCAAGGAAAAACTGAAGGCAAAGATCCAATTTGTTAAAATATTTTAGTACTCTTTGATGATGACTTTGCCATGTCCTCTTAAGCCTTCTCACTGGTTACAAAGTATGGCCCTTGGGTCAAATTGGGCCTGCAGTTATGTTGGTTGGGCACAGTGTTATCAAGCGTTGGACCTGAAATCTCTGTACATGGGGCACACTTCTCTGCTTCCCCCCAGGTCCATTACTCACTACCATTTCAGACAAGGTCAGCTCCACTCAGGTATTTTTCCTGCCTGGTCTGAACTGAGCAACTCAAGCTAAGCTCTCCTCAACTAAACCTGAAACTTTCATTATCATCCCACACTTCCTTACTAATGGATCTTGGACGTGACCGGCGCCATATTGTACACAATAAGCACAAATTAGCCATCAGCCTTTCCCTTACGAGAAATCTCGTGGTTTCTGAGAAATAGAAACTCCTCTGCTTCTGGGCTGGCCCGTGGCTCACTCGGTAGAGTGCGGTGCTGATAACACCAAGGCCCCGGGTTCGGATCCCACATAGGGATGGCCGGTTCGCTCACTGGCTGAGCATGGTGCTGACAACACCAAGTCGAGGGTTAAGATCCCCTTACCGGTCATCTTTATAAAAAAAAAAAAAAAAAGAAAGAAACTCCTCTACTTCCGCATGGGTGCAACCTTGCACCTGATTGCATCTGCCAGCCTTATCTTCCACTCCATCACCAACCCCCTCCCTGATTACCTTAGCCTTCCCTACAGCCTATATGAGCTCTCCCACCCCCACGCCTGGTGCTGCCCTCCATTTTGAGCACTACCCAGCAGATTTTCTTCCTTTAATAAAGCTTGATTGGTACCTGGCATTTCAGCTCACTTTCTTTCAGTAAATGCTTCTTTGTTTAAAAAAAATCATAGAAATGTCTCCTGGAAATGGTTTTTTGAAATGAAGTAGTTAGACCACCTCTAGTAGAGATAGGCATCCACATTTGTTCAGTGTTAGAGTGGAAGACTGTGAGAAGGAAGAGAAGTAGGTTCTATGCCAGACTGGTTGTATTTAGAGGACATTTTCTTATTATAACCATTGTTTTGCTTGTGCATTTTATTCCTCATTACTGTAATATAGTTGACAGTGCTAAGCACTTTTAAAAAATATTTTAAAATATGTAGTCTTTCTAGACGTTCTGAAGTGACTAATATACGTTCAAAGTAGAGGTAGTAACATAACATATTTCTTAAGTATCTTTTTTTTTTTTTTTTAAAGATGACCGGTAAGGGGATCCCAACCCCTGACTTGGTGTTGTCAGCACCACGCTCAGCCAGCGAGCCAACCGGCCATCCCTATATGGGATTCGAACCCGGGGCCTTGGTGCTATCAGCACCACACTCTCCCGAGTGAGCCACGGGCCGGCCCCGTAAGTATCTTTTTGTTAAAATTCATATGAAATGTTATTTTTTGGGAGCCTGGCCAAACCATCTCTTGAGTAGTACACGTTGTATTTGTGTACTTGTTTGGGGAAGGAAGGAGGAAAAGGAACTGCAAAGAGTTCTCTGTCAGTGCGCTTCTGGTGAAGCAAGATTAACCATTGTCCCTCATGTTTGTGCATCTTGTTTTACTTTGCTGTGCATATAGTGTATATAAAGGACAAACAAGTCCTAATTTAGAACATCTAGTCTTTCTAGATGTTAAAGATGTTTCTAGTGTATGACAAAATCAGGGTTAGTAAACTAATACACTTTGTACATTTTGTATTAAAATTTCTAGGAAAGATTGTCTTCTAAAGATTTGAGCATTATAGCCCACTGGGTTGGTGGAGAAGGGAAGGGTTCTAGGCCAAAATGTTTATATTTAAGAAACACTTTTTTTTTTTTTTTTTTGAGAAACACTTTTAAATTGTAACTATTGTTACATGTGTGCAGTTTATTCAATACTGCTGTGTATATAGTGGACAAATTAAGGCCTTACTTGAAATGTCTAGTCTATCTAGATGTTTAGAAGTGCCGGACATGTGTTAAGTGTACAAGTAGCAAAATATTACTTTGGAAATATCTTTTTGCTAAAATTAATAGAATATATTGTCTTTTGGAAATGGAACGATTAAACCACCTCTGTGAGCATTATAATACTATCTATACCTGTTTAATGGTATGGAAGAGGTGGGAGGGAAAGAATTGCAGAAGGTAATATGCTAGTGCCTTCATAATTGGCCATTTTGAGGCACTATTTTTCTGTATATTTTGTGTGTTTTGTTTTGCTGTGTATATAGTGTACATAATGGACAAATGACTCTTAATTTTGCAACATCTAGTCTCTAGATGTTAAATAGGTTACCAAAAAAAGTATGACAAAGTAGTTAGTAAAATTAGCATATTTTGTATACTTTGTGTTAAAATTCATGGGAAAGCTTGTCCTCTGTAAATGATTTTTGGATATAAATTTGTTCAACCACCTCTAAGCCTTACACATATCTGTACTTGTGCACTGGATTGAAGGCAGAGAAAAGGAAGTGAGGAGGGAATGGTTCAAGGCCAAAATGGTCATATTTATAACATACCTCAGAATATAACCATAGTTATGTGCGTGCAACTTTATTTAACAGTGTGTATACATAGTGTGCAAGTTCTTACGTGAAATAGCTAGTCTTTCTGGATATTTAGAAATGCTCAATGTATTTAAAGGTAGCAGTAGTAGAATAACAATTTTTGTAAATAGCTTTTAAAAACTGATGGGAAATACTGTGTTTGGAAATGGAATTTTTTTTTTGCTTGTTTTGGTGGCTGGATGGTATGGAGATCTGAACCCTGGATGGAAATGGAATTGTTAAACCACCTCTGTGAACAATATACTCACTTTACTTGTTTGTTGGGTTGAAAGAGATGAGAGGGGAAAAAATTGCAAAAGGTGTTTTGCTAGTGTATACTACAAAATTTCTGTTTATCCATTGCCCTGTATGTTATGTGCATTTCATTTAACTTTGCTGTACTGTATATATTGTGTATATACTGACAAATGAGTCCTAATTTCACAATATCTAGTCTCTAGATAATTAAAGAGGTTGCCAAAGTATGAGAAAAGTAGAGTTAGTAAACTAACACATTTTGTACACTTTGTGTTACAATTCATAGAAACAGTAAAAAATAAAATAAAATAATAAAATTCATAGAAAGGCTGTCTTCTGAAAGGGATTTTTGGAAGTGAAATTGTAACCTCACGTCTAGTGACACATGTGAGTATATCTACTGGGATGGTAGTGGGGAGAAGGAGTTGGAAGAAATGAGGGATTCTAGACCAGAATATTTCTACTTAGAAGGTGCTTTCAGATATAACCATTGTTACATGTATTCGTTTATTCAACACTACTGTGTATATAGTGGACAAACAAGTTCTTATTTGAAACATCTAGTCTTTCCAGATATTTATAAGTGAACAAAGTATGTTAAAATAGAGGTAGTAAATAACACCTTTTGTTAAAATTCATTTGAAATATTGTTTTTTTGGAAATAGAATGATAAAACCACTTCTCTCAGCAGTACACATTACTATAGTTAGGCTGGTTTGGGAGAAAGGAGAAGAAAAAAGTGAAAACACTAATGTGTTGTTTACGGTAAGGCAAGATTAACCATTGTCCCTTATGTCGGTACATTTTGTTTTACTTTGCTGTTTATATAGAGTATATAAATGACAAATGAGTCCTAATTTACAACATCTAGTCTTTCTAGATATTAAAGAGGTTGCCAGTGTATCACAAAAGTAGAGTTAGTAAACTAAAACACTGAGTACACTTTGTTAAAATTCAAAGGAAACATGTTCTTAAAACCACTTTTAGAAGTGAAATTGTTAAAATCCTGTCTAAGCATTACAGATGCTTATATCTATCCACTGGATTGATAAAGGTGAAGAGGGTGTCCCGATCCGTGGGATATTCAATGCAGACACTGGAGGGGTAGTGGGAATTGGATGGGACAAGACACGAGAGAAATGGAGACAAGACAGTATTCGGATCAAGTCTCGTTTATTAGCCACAAGGTCACAGCTTATATAGCCAGCAGGAGGGAATCAGCAGATAAGGAAGTGAGCAGCAGATGGTTTACTGAGAAAACCACAGGGTGGGTTGTTCCAGTAAATGGAAAATTCCCCTGATATCTATGGCAAGTTGCAAAGTTACCCACACCCATAGTGCACAGGAGGGGTAGGGACAGAAGATAACAGCAAAAAAGGCTCTGAGGCCTCGAAGCAATAGCTGGGCTCTATGGCTCCAGACAGGTCCCCCTTTTCTATTATTTCAAGCCAAGAGAACCCCTCGGGAACTGTGCCTGTCTTAGGTTGGGGCAATCTATCCTGCACACGGTGCCCGTCATAGGATTAGGCTGCAGCAGAGGCAGCCCTCCTGTCTTAGGTGGTGCGTACGGGGATGTTACCCTCTTACCCGTCGTTGGCTATCCAGTTCAGCTCACAGGGGAGGCATCCGACTAATTTGAAATCAGTGGGACATGTGAACCACTTTGTTCTTTCATCTCTAGGCGTTGGTAATGGACCTGTATAGGCCTTGCTTGAATAGCCTCAATTTGCTGTTTAATGAATGCCATAAGTTTGTTGAACAGAAAAGGACCCAATGAGAACAAGAAGAGCAAGCATACAAGTGGTCCAAAATGGGGGAGGAGGTAAGGCAAAAATCCATTCAGCCTGGTCCAAAGGGGGTTATCCGCCAATTGTCTTCTTTTTTCCAGGTCTTCTTGCAGCGGTTTGATTCGGTTTCTGACTATACTGGACTTGTTGGCATAGAAGCAGCATTTTTCCTGTAGGGCTAA